TTTGTGATGTAGCTACAGCTCACTTCTCCTTTTTGATGGGACAGAATAGGTGAGGCCTATGTAGACATGAAATAGGGAAGAACCATTTGCAGCTGGAAGAGAAGGCTCTGGGACTGCTCAGGAGCTCATATTGTTTATATGTGGGGGAAAAAAAAAATCAGTCTTGTGGACTTACATTCATTTGTTATGATCTACCGAGGTTTGCATCTGTAAGCTTTCTAAAGGGCCAAAGTCCTGGTGTGAGGAACATGTGGATTCTCTGTCTCTCTTTAGATGGCAGATAATCAAGAACATCTGATCTAAGCTGTTAGGAATAAGCGGCAACAGATTTACTAGAAACAAGCAGAGAAGGTACCCTAAAATTATTTTCTTTCATCTTTTTCCCATGTTAATGTTGGCTAATGGGTGTGGAAAAAAACAGAGTATTCCAGTTGATGGGCATCAGAAATTGTATGTACAGTTTTGTTACTTTGTAGATTGGTTTGCCTACATTTTCTTCCTCTCAGAATTTGTGTGAAGAGAATAAAACAAAATATGGTCTGATGTCACAGCAAGATCTGTAGCAAATCTGTGATCAAGAGAAAAAAATGCAAAAAGTAGAAAACCCTGTTGGTATCTGTAAAAGATCTGCTGCATAGCTTTGCCATGTGTCCTCTGCACTAAACTGCAGGTCCAAAGGGAAAAAGAAGGAATCTACCCAGAGGCTGTACCCATTAAAGCTGAAGCATTGCATGTGAATTTTCCACTAAGTATTTCATTGACAGGATGCTTTTACTTATTCATCTCAAGGTTGAATCTTTGCAAACTGCTGGAGGAAGCTAATTCCCTGAATGACTAGTGAAAACAAATAAACAAAAAAAACAAGCAAGCAAACAAAAACTTAATTCCAGAAAAGCTTCTATCTTTACATCTCCACAACCTTTTCACAGTTATGCCTTCTCAATGAGCACCACATTTCTGGCGTGGATTTTTACAGCAAGGGAAGTTCATCTTTTAAAATGATTTCCAGCATCTTTTCAAATTGAAGCTCAGCCTCTGTTTCTATACCTCTTGGGTATTTCTGAATGGCAGGGCATAATTTTTTCCTACTGTTTCCCTGAATCTTGTTTCATGTATCACTGAGATTTGGTATCTACCTGGAAAATACTAACACACAACACACCTGGGCTTTCCTCCTACAGAAATATGGACTTGTGGTGAGGGAAGTGAGGGGGAATGGTATGTGCCAGGTCTTGTCTTGATTTGCTGTTGGGACAATAAAGAGGCACTACCAAGACAGAACTGGGACGTGCTTCTCTTGAAATGTAGGCAGAACTCTTTAGTATGTTTCTAATGAATTTTTTTATCGTGTTTGCTACTCCTCACATTTTGGAAAGAGCTAAGAGCTTCACCAAATCCTTCCAGATCATGAACAAAACTGAATCTAGAAACAATCTCTTGAGTTTCCCCATTTATACTGTTTCCCAAGCTAACAAAGGATCCTTACATCTGTCAGCCTTTAGTATTGGTATTTGTGAAATTGTGCACTTTGAACTAGCTGTCAGTAAGAGGTATATATAGAACTCCCTGGTGCCCCAGTCACATTTTGCAACAAGCCATACTTCAGCGCAAGGGAGGAACTTGCCCCGGAGATATCTTTGGTAGAAAGAACCAGATCCTTGTTCTGTGACCTCTGATTCATCCCCTTTATCCACTAACTCCACAGCTCTAAGAAAAATATGTGACAGCTCTGTACATCACAGGGGACGCTGGATTGATGTTTCATTCCCTATAAAGAATCTGTGCCTTCTCTCTCTTATTTCATCTGCATGATCACAGTTTAATATTCTAGTATTATCTTTTCTTTTAATCTAGGATATTTTCTGGTTCTGCTCCACCAGCAATTATGTTAGAACACTTTGAATAGCTGACTTCAGATAGTCTACAGAAGATAGACAGACTCCTACCTCCTAGCAGTTTGAACTGTTAAATTAGTTTTCTACTAGGACTATCTTTCACCCAGAAACTCAAGACATTTTTAAACAGGTATTTTACATTCCTACAAAGGAACACAAGTAACCTTTCTTAACCACAAAGTGAGCCGAACTTAAGGACCAGTGCACTTGGCTGCACAAGTAGTCAAGCCACTCATCTTTCTCCCTTGAGAAGAAAGAAAGACGAAGGCAGGGGAATGAATGAAGCTGACAGAGGCAGTGTGTACATCTGTGTTTTGATAAAATATTGTGTAGATTGGGTTTTGATTTTTTTTTTGCTCAGGGGATGCTCCCTTACCCTTCCTTACATGTCTGGAGATGAACACCCTTGGAGATGTATAGGATTTGTAGGATTTGCCTGAACAATTACTGTTTCCCTTCGAAATGAAGACTATCTTTTTTTTTTTTTTTTTTTTTTTTCAACAGAAATCACCTTAAAAATTTCTGTTACCTTCACATCCCAGTTCTGCTCCCTCTGGTGGTCGAATGGATGTGGAGCCCTGGAAATCCCTTCTGCCCGAAGGTGTTGTGGCAGGATGAGAGAGAAACCCATCCCACCCAGCTTAAGCTGCTACATTTTGGGTAGTAGAAGTGGAAAGTAATCCAAACAGAGACATTATTTAATCTGATTTATATTCGCACTCATAAAACTACTATAATGGGTACAATTTCAAGTATCAAGAGTTCTTTAATTTCTCATGTATATTCTAGCATATCATATATTTACAGATGAAAAGAATTGCAGTTCTACTCTAACACTGATTTTTGACGGCATCTGATTCCTGGGCATATTTGAAGATATTTATTTAACTTCATAGTGTTAAGTTTCCAATGTTTTATTACTTCTATTACTGACCTCTTGAGGGTGGGTTGGGGGGGAGCAGGATTCAGTTTTTCTTTGAGCATTACTAGAAAATCAGCATATGTGCCATAAGCATAAAACTCAGCCCCAGAAAACTTTAATTTCTAGTAGAGGTGCTCATGGCTCCTTAAGTAGGTTGCAGAGAAAGAGGATTATAACGTTATCAGTAATAGGTATCACAGCTCAAGTTACAGTAAGAGCAGCTTTTTTATGACAAGTACCTGCCTCTATAATTTTGTTTATTCATATTTTCTTGTTGTTCTTTCCTACTCTCAGATTAATTATACATAAGAAGTGTAAAAATACCTCACCAATACTGGAAAAAGTCACTAGGATTCCAAATCGCCATCAGCATTCATGTCACTTGTCACTTTGATAGTGCAGTTTTCAGTAATTTCTGGTACACCAACAACTGAACACGTGTAGAAATCAAGTTTTTAATTCCTACTTTTTAACAGAATCACAGAATGGCCTGGATTGGAAGGGCCCTCAAGGATCATGAATCTCCAACCCCCCCACAGGCAGGGCCACCAACCTCCCCATTTAATACTAGACCAGGCTGCCCAGGGCCCCATCCAACCTGGCCTTGAACACCTGCAGGGACGGGCATCTGCAACCTCTCAGGGCAGCCATGAAATTTTGATGCTTTTGTTTCTGTTTCAGCTTTGTAGTTATTTTACTATTTTTTATTGACAAATTGCAGTTCAAGGATCTGAAGTCATTACACTTGTCCTTTTCTCTTGCTACGGTAGCATAATATTGATGTTGCAGTGCTGCAGACTCCCACTGTCTCGTGCAAAAGTGAAATAGTTTCCCTTAGTGACAGTGTTAACAACATGTGCTCATCCAATGTGGTCTATATCTTGAGATCGAGAGAAAATATTTGAAACAGACACCTTGCTCTCTTGCATCTGGAATGAGGGTATTTTGATTGCAATAACATCTTTCCAATTCACTGCCAACTCTCTTCCCAGTTCAGAATCCCGTTTGAGTTCTAAAGCTTAATCTCCTAATTAAATCAAAATATGAAAACAGAAATGAATGCTGAAAGCAATTGTAGGCCAAAAACACAATTAAATACAAACAGCATTTGGAAGTCCTGATTTTCCACAGTGACTAAGCTTAGAGGCCACATGCTGCTGGAGCTCCTTGGTCCTCCCTCAGCTTTACACCCCAATTTGTAAAAACAGACAGTCTTACATCTTTGAGTTTATGCAAGTAGAGCCAAGAGTACAGTCTGGGTGGGTACTGATCTTCTTGATCTTGCTTTTTCCTGAACTTGTCTGAAAGATAACTGAGATCAGCAGGATGTTTCAAGCCGAGAGCTTTAAATTAGGGGTATGGTGCTGTAATCAAGGTACCTGTGGGCAATTTTCTGATCTAGAGATATTTGCCAACCAAAGTGAAACTGAAACAAACTTGCTGCTGTGGATCTTCACCTCGTTCCTCTGATCATCTCTCCTGTGTTCCTCGTTGCTTCCAAATTCAGTTCATTAAAGGGGTCTTAAGGTCCATAAACCATTCAGCTGGAAAATGACAAGTTTTTAGAATCTAAAACTACTTCAGACTTCTGGCGTGAAGTTCAGATTGCTTATGGATATTTGTTCTCTAATAGCCTATTTATAGGACTGCAGACTTTGGTTTTGGTATCTTATCAGATTTTGTATGTTGGATAAATAATTTTGTACAACAGCATAAAACAGTCGTATGGAGGGATCATCTCCCTTATTCTGTATGTCTTCTATCTATACACGTGCGCAAGTGAAGCTCATATAACATTCTACATTTTATCATAGTAAAGCTTGTTTATCCATTGCTCTTGGTATGTAGAATAACATAAAGAAAACACAGGTACTTTCTCAATAGAGAAAAACCATCTTTTTTTTTTTTTTTTTTTTTGAATGGATTTTCATCCTCATGATATTAGAGTCTACACTGAGCATTTAATACCATCTATGCATGTATTTTCATTGACTGCAACTCCATTGTTGCAAATAGCTATTTTAATTTCACCTTGACGCTTTCCTCCTGCTTCAGATCAAAGGGCAAATGAAGCTGTTTAAGCAACCGTAGGATTATTGGCATATTTGCTAAGCTCTTAAAGAATCTAAGCAAAGGGAGACTGGTAGACTCACTTTCCATGTAAACTAAGATGTATAGGCTGTGCCAACATGCTTTTGCTAAGGGTAAGTGATCATGCTGAAACTTTCCTGTTCTTCAAATTGGATTTCCAGCAGAATGTTGACTTCCCTAGCCCATAACAGAAACACACGTCCTTAGCATATTTCCTGTATTTAGACTCCTAGTGAACTAAGGAAATGTTTTTACATTGAAGTCCATTTAATTCTTTTGGAGATTGATTGTTTAGTGTGTATAGGAACCACTTCTAAGAAATGTCTTACCTGGGTTGCCAGTGAAGCATGACAGTTTTTCACTGGTTTCACTACACTGAAAAGATTTTTCTGGTAACCTACCATCATCACTGGTAACGATAGGTAGCATATAGGATACATCTCCAAAGTATTTTCTTGAGTAAAGGTACCTCTTTGGTCTGTACCATTGAAAATACTGGACCTTGAGTACCTTGAACATTACTTGACATCTCTGCCATCATCATCCAAATCCTTTTCATTCTTGAGCACAAAATCTCACTAATGAGATTTTGCAGGCTGTACAGGCTGAGTGCCCACAGGCTGAGCTCTGGTGCCAAACAACTGATGAGATCTGCGTTCTCATCTAGCACCTTGCTCAGGGCAGCTTTGACAAAAGAAGTAATTGCAGAGATGAATATTGTTTTTTATGGCCATGTAAACTCTGATGTGGGCATACTGATAGGGATAGGATGGGAGATAGACTCGGGCTCTGAATTATCTCCTTGTTTTACTCATCACAGAGACACTGGTTGAAGATTGTGTCCTCTCAGAAGTTTTCCACTGTTGGTTTTGGTTCTCACACGTGTCTCAGAACTACAGAGGTAGGAGTCTAATATGGCTGCTGTTTCAGCCATGGCATCCCTCTCAAGAGCATCATCCCTACCTATACAGTAAGAACAGATCTGCTGAAGTGCCCTTGACTGATAACTATCCATGAGGAACATCTCTAGGGCAGAGTCCTGCTAATCTCTAACAATTAGAAGCAGACAATACTTACATCTCTTGTTATCCCAACCTTACAACAGCCATAAAGATGTGAAGGCCTCTACCAAAGTTCTATTTAAACCACATTGTCTTTCTGCTCCTTTTTTTTTCTTGCCATGTATATAAGCATGTCATTACCACCTAAAAGGCAGGGTAGAAATCTCTACTTTTACTAACTTCAGAAGGGACCTCTGGAGATCTCTAGCCCAGCCCACTGCTGGGGCAGGTGGGTTCATGAATTACCTTTGAATTAGACAGAGAAATAAGAACAAGTCCTTTTTTTTTTTCTCTCGATAATTCCATATGTAAGATCTGAGTCACAAGGTCCATTTGGTGCTTTGAAGAGCCATGGGGCAGTAAAGTATCAAATAAAATACTGAAGTTGCTTTTTCACCACTGTTCCTGAACAAAACTAATATTTTCATATTTGTCTAAGTTGTCCTGTTCTGCTTACATGTAGATTGGATATTAGGAAAAGTTTCTTCTCTGAAAGAGTGGTCAGGTGCTGGAACGGGCTGCCTAGGGAGGTGGTGAAGTCATTGTCCCTGGAGGTGTTCAAGTAATGTTTAGATGTTATAATAAGGGATATGGTTTATTGGAAAATATTGGTGGTAGGTGGATGGTTCTACCAGGTGATCTGGGAGGTCTATTCCAATCTTGATAGTTCTCTGATTCTAAACACACAAAATAACACTGCTGTGCACATTTCAGATTCTTATGTCTGCTGCACTGCAGCATATGCTAGAATTCTCACTGGTTTTGGCATAGGAACAACAGTAGTTGCAGCGGCAGTGTTATTAGATTTATGTAAGATTTATGCTGATGGATTTTAACACTCCTCAGGCGTTCTTATTTACATGATGCAGTCTTTCCTGATAAAAGCTACATGATAAGACCTGTATCTGAGTCTTTGTGTTGCCATAGGAACAGTCAAAATCTAAAGCATCTCCCTATAAAAGGAAATGTTTCTCCTGTAAAACACTCATAGGAAAGTCACTCTCCTATCAAACCAGTGGCACTTTCATTACCTAGAATAATTCAAAGTAAGATGAGTTTACACTGATGATCTTTTCACTTGTGACGGAATGTTAGAAGTGCCACCTTATGCTAAATTGGGAGAAAATCATAGCTTAATTTTCATTTATTTCAAAACACAGTATTTCCTTTTGTAACCTTCTAATAGTGCCCTTTGGGGTTTTTTTTGTGCTGGAAAACTTACCAGACTAAAAATATTCATTGACTTTCAGTTTCCAGTATCTACTTGCTTCTTGATAGAAAAATAACGAAAACAAGTCAGCAGCATTAAATAATTTTGTGTTGATCTTTTGAGCATGCTGAGATGACTGTAAATGTAAGTATGGGTATATATATGATCAGAGAACTGATCAGAGTTCTTCTTACTCACAAATTGATACAACTTTTCCCTTTAAGTAGTGTTATGTCAGAGGCTTTTTTGTTGTTGTTCCTTTTCCTACTTCCTTTTTTCTTTGTAGGCTGAGATGTCATTTTGTCAAAAATACATTAGTGCATGTTGTATTCTGCCTGGATATTTACTGTAGTGAAGTCTATAGAGAATCTTGTCCTAGCCAAGCTACAGGGCTGCATTTCCAACAGAAACATTTGTTCTCCTAAAATTTAGTTCACACCTGTAACAGCCCTGATAGTACTCCAGTTCTGCTGAGCTATTCTCTGCCTCCTCAACATTTTCCTTAGGACTCCTCTGATTTCCTTGTTCCTCAAGCTATAAATAAGGGGGTATAGTAATGGAGTAATATTGGTGTAGACTAGAGAAACCATCTTGTCTCGAGCTGGTGAGTAACTGGACTTAGGACGAATGTACATGAAGGAGGCACATCCATAGTGTAGCAAGGTGATGATCAAATGTGAAAAGCAAGTGGAAAAGGCCTTGCCCCTCCTGAGGGAGGAAGTGATACGTAGCAAAACAGCAGCAATACACACATAAGAGGTCAGGATCAAGATGAAGGGAAGTAGCAGGAGGAGCACACAGGCCGCCAGCAGGGGAAGCTCAGGGGTGTAGCTGTGTGTGCAGGCCAGGTGAAGCACTGCAGGGATGTCACAGAAGAAGTGGTTGATGTGATGTGACTGACAGAAAGGTAAGTGGAAAACAGACACTGTCAACCCCAGGGCAACAGCAAAGCCTCCCAGACAGCATGCTATGCACAGCCTAAGACAGAGCCCCTCGCTCATCACCACTGCGTAGTGGAGGGGCTGGCAGATGGCAACGTAGCGGTCATACGACATGGCTGCCAGGAGAAAGCACTCAGCTCCGCCGAGTCCCACAAAAAGGTACATCTGGGCAGCACAGCCTATGAAGGAAATGGTGATGCCATTCATAACCATCAGGCCGAGGAGTGCCTTAGGGACAATGACTAAGGTGTAGCAAAGCTCAATGATGGAGAGCTGACAGAGGAAGAAAAGCATGGGAGGACGAGAATGCTCCATAAAAACAGCAATGAAGATCATCGTATTCCCTGCCAGTGTGACCAAATGGATGATGAGAAAGATAAGGAAGAGGAGGACCCGCAGACGGAAATGCTCAGAGAAGCCAAGAAGGAGGAACTCCATGGTTGCATCAGTGCTCTCATTGTCCTTCTCCATGCAGCCTTCACATGGCATCTACAGGGAGAAAAACAGAGGGAGATAGTTGAATTTGATCTGATGCCTGGTAATCAACTCCACATATGAAATCATGTTGCAAGTGTGTAGAGCCAGTGTAGTAAAGCTCATTGTGAGATCTTAAGGGGAGGGAGGTGATTCTTGTGTAAGACATAAATTTGCAGACTTTCCCACTCGTATTCTCATAACCACCAACGTATTTTTGCCCAATTATCTGCCCAGGATTCTTTGCTTTGAAACTAATGATGAGTAATATCAACTGTTGAATCTTCATCACTTCTTTGGAGTTCTTATGTTGATGACTATATGCATTTTTTGAACGTCTTAAGTACCTAGCAGTTGACACTGATCAGTCTTTTAATTCTGTCCTGCCTTTGAAAATCATCATTTGCCTCTCAATTCTGATCTGAATGCTGTAAGAAACTATGTGGAGATATGTTAAGATGACCTTGTAATCTAGGTGCCATCAACTCCTAGGTGCCTTACAGACATTCTTCTACTGCTCCTTCTGATGCTTCCATCACCTGGCAGATCACAGAATCACAGAATCACAGAATTGTAGGGGTTGGAAGGGACCTCCAGAGATCATCGAGTCCAACCCCCCTGCCAAAGCAGGTTCCCTACAGCAGGTCACACAGGTGGGCATCCAGGCAGGTCTTGAACATCTCCAGAGAAGGAGACTCCACCACCTCCCTGGGCAGCCTGTTCCAGTGCTCCATCACCTCACTGTAAAGAAGTTCTTGCGCACATTTGTGCAGAACTTCCTATGCTGCAGTTTCCAGCCGTTTCCCCTTGTCCTGTCTCCACTCACTGAAAACAGTCTGGCCTCGCCATTCTGCCCCCCACACCTTAGATATTTATAGACCTGGATCAGGTCCCCTCTCAGTCTCCTTTTCTCAAGGCTGAACAGACCCAGTTCACTCAGCCTTTCCTCATAGGAGAGAAGATAGATTTGTTCTCTTTCGCACCAATATTGCATCTCTCTGTATTCATGCCAGGGATGTACAAAGACAAACAGGCAGAGGGCTGGAGCTTCTGCTCCACATCTGATCCCAATTAATGGGAATTTCAGGTCCTCACTGACTGATTTCTCCTTTCTCCATCATGAAGCTGCCTCAAAATTTTGTACCGAAACAAGATTTCAAACAGATTTTGGTGGCTAGACATGAGGATCTCGAAATTGGAGTTAACATTTTGGCTGCTTTAAACTTTATGCCCGTGTCAAATTTTGGTATCACAGTTATATAATCCGATTTCCAAACTCAAAAACTGACCTATGTCAATGATAGAGAGCTGACAGAGGAAGGAAAGCATGGGGAGACGAGAATGCTCCATAAAAACAGCAATGAAGATCATCGTATTCCCTGCCAGTGTGACCAAATGGATGTTGAGAAAGATAAGGAAGAGGAGGACCCGCAGACGGAACAGGCATCTATGGCAACATACTTCGTATAATTTTTTTTCTAAGGAAAATACAAAATTGTTATCTTGGAGAAAATGAGACTACACATGTCAGAAGAAGAATATTCAGTTCCTAGGTATGTAGAGTGTTACAAAGCTGTTGAAATTGTAAAGATCTAGTAAATACAAGGGCATAGAGAACAGTAGAATAATATTGCATATAATCATAGTGGATGAACAGTGTTCATTACTTACATGTGCATCATGTGAAGCAATATTTATTACAAGGAATAAATCAAATTCTTTCTTTACTTTACTGTATACTGGGATAAAAGTAGAGATTCCTTGAAGAGTTTTGCTCACATAAAATAATTTAAAAAAAAATCAATATTTAAGTATGAAAAAGGTTGAAAGTTACATAAAATGCTCTAACGTCGTAATGGGAAAATAAAAGAAGTTTGAAGTTGTAAAAGAAATATTAGAGGGGAGAGGGAATTTCCTGGAAAGCAGACATCTCAAAAAAAACTCCAGAAAGAAATAATCAATACAGTCAAAGAGGTGAATCTCATAAGCCTACACATCTCTTCATTATTCGAAACATTTGGGGACACAGGTGGGTAATGAAAACGTACAATTATATAATCTCATATGCAAAGCTAGGAATGAAATATCTGCGTAAGTGCATTACACACAAACACACAGTAGCTATTCTAAACAGTCCAGCTATAAAGGTTTCTTGATGCTATGTGCAAACAGGAGGTCTTGGTGGGGAGCAGGAGTAGATACATGATCTCAAGACTGTACACCTAATCAGCGCAGACCAACTGGGGCTTCCTTCACTCCAGGTACTGAGACTCTAACAGGATTCTACTAAACACAAGACTGAAGAGTGAAGAGGAAACAGGTTTCCCTTCCTTTTGTTTGGAAATGATCACTTCAGTGGCAACATACCTTCTGTGGGTTAGAAGATAAAGAAATACGGACTTCTTCCTCTTGATGTGCCCAGTTCTGGCTGGGCTGAGATTTTATTTCTCCCTGTCTGGATATTCTCTGGCTTTGAGTGCTCCCCAGAGCCAGTGTTTTCTTTCAGCACTTCGGAATTATGATCTTCCACAGGACTGACTTCCTTATATAGCATGACACAGAGGTCTTTCCTCTTCAGCACTCTCTCTGCCCTCCTGCATGAATGACAGGCAGTTCCACTCCTCCTAAGGAAAGCAGCTTTGCAGTTTTTCTGTAAACCAAGCAAGAAAATGCATGTTCAACTTCAGAGGAAAACAATGTTGTAACACTGAAGTCGTTACTCCTTCCATTAAACAGTCCGGAAGGAGCTGATTATTCTCTGGGCAGGTTTGCACCCCAAAATGGCAATAATTTGCCAAACAGAATGCATTGCTGCTCTTTTTAAACCAAGTTACTGTTTAAACCAAAATCACATTTAAAAGCAAAGCAATACGATTGTAGAGCCTTTAAACAAATCTGTGGAATTATGTGTGGTATTTTCACCAGTTAATACAATCCATTATTTCTTACTGAGCCAGATAAAATCAGTGTTTAGCAATGGATTGGACTGAGATCATTCATAATCAGTTTATATTTATTGTCATTGTTACACTAAATCCTGGCCATTTATGCTGAAATCATTGAGGAGATGTGTAGGTTCATGTAAGTAGAAAGAAGAGAAAAAGCCAAGATTTTTGAATGCTAAAGTGATCTAAAGTGATAAAGATCTCCATTAATATAGCTTTTGCAGAAGCATGTAATTATTGTACCTTAAGATTTTTACCAGGACATGATTTAGAAGAATTCTATTATTGAAACATGTTCTAGGGACATATAGAGACTCATTGGTAGGAGCTTTGCAAGATGAACATGAACTAAGAATACATCATATATCGGCCTGCATTAGCAAGACAATGACCCACAGGTGAAATTAAGTGATTATTCTTTGTTAGCTGGCACACAAAAACCATATCTCGAACAGTGGACACCAGTGTCCTCCATAGAAGAGCAATAAAAACAAAATCAAGAGAAGCACTCTACAACTCTTCCTGAAGGGAAGTTGTGATCAGGAGGGGTTTGGCCTCTTCTCCCAGGCAACAAACAGGACCTGAGAAAATGGCCACAAATTGCACTAGAGGAGATTTATATTAGATAAAAGGAAAACTTTTTCTCTCCAAGAACGGTCAGGTGCTGGAATGGCCTGCCCAGGGGAGCTGATGGATTCACAGGCATCTGGATGAGGTATGAGATATGGTTTAGTAGCTTAGAGGTAGTAAGGGTGATAGGACGGTTGGACTAGATGATCTAGTAGGTCCTTTCCAACCTTGCGATTCTATGATTCTATGATTCTATGATTCTAAGCATGTGATGTCCAAGGAGAGGCTGAGGGAGTAAGATTTGTTTAGCTTGGTGAAAAGGGGGCCAAAAGAGGATACAGCTGAGGACTTCAGGTAGTCGTTGGAGAACAGAGTCAGAATACTTTCAGATGGGCACAGTGAAATAGTCACAACATTTGCATGAAAGGCCATAAAGAATGCATATGCTTCTCTTCACAAGGCTGGTTGAGCATTGGAACAGGAACCTTGTGAGGTTGACTGGGAGATCTTCATGCTTGGGGATGCTCACAAGTTGCCTGGACCAGGCTGTGGAGCAACCTAATCTGACTCTGGAGCTAGCTGTGCTGGCAGTAGGAAGCAGACAAGAAGAAGCCCCTTTTCATCTAAAACTTTCTTTGAATCTACGACTTTTTCCCACCTTCATCAGGCCTCCAGGAACAGAACTCTTTGTATCTCAGGAGCTTTATTGTCACAAACTCAAACAGTTGTGGAGTTTCTTTGGTTCCTCAAAGGCAGCTGACTGAGGTTCTGTAGTGTCACAATTTTGAAATAAGGCTGAACTTAAATATCTTAGTTGTATATAAGTGGTTTTTTTTTACCGTCATTTAAACCTGTCACATAACATCTTAGAATTAAAACTGAAACCTGGAGTCTATCCTCTTGTGTCTCTCTATCAGCTTTCTTTCTGTTAAACATCCATTTGTTTTTCTTTGTTTCCAATTCTTCCCCTGTGCTTCTTCCACTTAAAATGCTGCAAATAATTCAGGACACATAGAGACCTTAAGGCATTTACAAAACTGAATTCTGAATCTGATTAAACCTTCTAGATATTGTTGAATAACAACCAATAAAACCACAACCCATTTCATCTCTGATACTGTAACAGGAGTAGCAGCTAGAGAGTGATTATTTTTTTAATTCCATCGGACAAATAAGGGGGAGAAAATCTTTGAAGAGAATAATTTGTTTAGGACAAATGTTTTTAAGAGTAGATTGTTCTCTCTACCAAGTTCCATAAGAATTTCAGAATACCAGCTAATTAATTCATATGTATTTTCTCTTTTTGATATCAAATAAAATTTAGGGTTTTGCTTGGTATTTCTTTATTCTTTTCTCTAACCCAAACCACATGAGAAGCTCTGCCACCTTAGCAACAATATAAAAGTAATTACAAGGAACTATTTTGACAAGTCTGTTGCAGCTTTCCCATCTCCAGATGGTCCCTTTCTTCTGCTAGACTGGAAGTGAACCTAGGTGAGT